ACAGCACTCTAGCCAAGCTTCAGACAAGACTGGCTCCAAATGTTACAGCTGGTCCTCTGGAGACTTGACTGTTGCTTTAGTTCCTTTTACAGGATCCCATAGAGATGTTGAAGCCCCCAAGACAGCTGGAAGTAATTCTAAGAACAGGAAGGCCCCTCTCCCAACAGATGGGATGGATGGTTTTTGGTTTTTCTCAGCGTTGGTTACAAGTCATTATAAGGTTGGGGGCAGAATAATAATAGACTCAAAAATCTTATTTGATATAAAATAGAGGAATAGATAGGATAGGATAATAAGGTAGATTAGTGTATCTACTTGCAAACTATTTTAGCAACTATTAGTTTTAGACAATTTACATTGGTATAGATTCTTATATTGATACATATGTAAAACCATTTTTGTATTCCTGTCTAAGATAATTTGTATATTGATACAAATTCAAAATTACATTTGTCATATTGTGCATGTTCCTATTTCTGTTTACAATATTTTTGTATATTTGATACAAATGTTAAATTATTTTTGTCATACTGTATATATGTTTCTACTTCTGCTTAAGATATTTTGTATATTGATACAAGTTAAGGATATTTTGTCATACTGAACTGGACATTTCTACCTCTGATTAAGGTATTTTTATATATTGCTTCAATTTTGAGATCATTGTCCTTACACATGTTTGAAGATGGTTTGTTTTTATAATGTGAAGCTTTAGTTTTTAAGCTACACAGGTTATTAAGAATTACAGGTTAATAATCACCCATGTCTGTCATACTTAAAGGTATGTTAGGTTTTTTTAGATGCACGTACTCCACATAGATCGGTAATCTCCAAACACTTTGACAACCTAAAGGATATGACATTTAAATGTTTCAATCGTTTAGCATTCTGCTGACGTGAGACACGACTGCTCCTGGTGGCACTGATCTACTCCCGAGAGAGGATGAGCACTGAAGACACTCCAGATGGAGGTGTTTTCTTCTTGGCAAAACTGGCCTGCTGGACAAAGAACTGCCCTTGCCTTGACTGCTGACAGTAAACACGCTATAATCTGGGCAAGCAGGATAAGGATAAGCAACTGCTGAACCTTGCCAAGATAGGGTAGGACAGTCTTCCAAATCTTCCTGCTTCTGAAAATGGTCTGTCAGCTATTCTAGGCCAATAGTCAAAGCTGGTTGTCCCAATATTACAGGGAGACTTTGGGTGACTGCCCAGGTAGCCAGCTGTTTCTGTCATTTCTTACCTCTTTTGGAAGTTGCTTGCTTACATTTTCTGCTTACTCAGGTAATATTATTTTCCTTCTCAGGTCTTTTATGGGATTGAAGACTAGATAGTCACAACTACTATCCTCTCATATCTTAGCTAAGGCATATTAGGTACAAGACTTAGACTCTTCAGGATAGGACAGCTGTCAGAATAATCTCTGTTATTTGCCAACTACCTATAGCCTGGACATTTAGTTTGTGCTTCTTGCTTGATGTTGTTCTTGTTGGCTGTAGTTCCATTTTGTGTACATTATTACCCTTTCTTTCTCCTGGACAATACTTGATCATTGTTCTTACTGTATTTAGTTTTGTATTAGGTTTAGAACTTTCTTATTTAGACAAAAAGGGTTAGTGTTGTGGGAATTCATTCTGCCAATAGCTTTGGGGTACCAGCCTTAGGGCATGGCTTCTTGTCTGTGGATGTGATCCCTTAAAAGGAGAGAGACAGGGATCCCATGTTCTCTTGGGTTGTGAAGACTGGGTCAGGCAGCATGAAGCAGCATGTGGCTGGATCCCAGCTCCTTTGGTCCCAACTCCATAGGTCTGTTTTCCCCATAACCCCCTTTT